GGTATTGGTTATGACTAATTACTTTTCAATACTGTTTGGTTACAAAACTTTTATGTGGTGGTTGTAGTGAGGACCAAAATGGAATAATACACTGAATAATATTTTTCTAGGAAAACAGAAAAGACGAGCTGATGCAGATGAAATGAGTCAATTACAGATTGAAATCAGGCAATCGCAGAATATTACTTCCAAGTCAAAAATAAAACACGACGATGAAATACATGCATTAAAGAGACGGAAACTCTAGCTAGATATACTGGAGAAGGAGAAACAACCCAATAATAATTCAGTTTTTCAGTAATACCCAATTTATCCAAATAATTTTTGACTAGTATTCTTAAATCATACTGCTCTAGGGGATAGCCCCATTCAGCACAGACATTAATATATTTAATGAATGACAATTCCACCTCTTTTGACAGCACTGTCTGCCCCCCTTGTGATTTTAAATTTTTAATAGTATGCCTATAAAGGACAGACTTGTCAATTTCAAATTTTTTGGCAATGCAAGTTAAGGAATCACTATTTTTGTTGTATTCCCGAACAGCTTCTTCAATAAGTTCTTTAGGGTATTTTTTATACCGCTTACCTCGAGGATCGGGTTTATAAATTCTTGGCATGATGAGTGCAGCGCAATGTTGTGTACCTGTATAAAATAAATATCAAGTATTTACTGAACAATAGACATAAATCACACAAACACACACACACACGCGCGCGCACACACACACACACACACACACACACTCACAGGACACAGGCACACACAGCACACACATCACACACACACACACATACACACACACACACTTACACACTTACACACACACTTACACACACACATACACACACACACACTTACTCATACTCACACACACACCCTCGCGCACACACACACAGCACAGGCTACATTTTATCTGACTTCGGTTTCGTACGTATACATGGTAAACGACACTTTTGCAAACAAGTAACAGGCAAAAACTAGTAATAACATAATTGAACAATTTAAACTATTTTATCGCTTATCGGCAGCCGTATATTAAAAAAGAACCAGATGTCCTTAATTTGAGTTCAAGCTTTGTATCAAATTTCATTAAAATTTGTTCAGCATTTTAGTAAAACGGATAACGGTAACAGATGACAGCCAAAAAAATAAATATTTAAATATAGTTAGCGATTGTCTACTAATTAATATGATTATTTTTTTAAGTGACAGCCGATTGACAACCCTAAAAATCATGTTTCTTTTAACCCCTGTCCCGTTGCTATTAACCCCTCACTCGTATCTATTCACCTCTTTCTGCGTATCTATTCACCCTAAAGGCGTTTCTATTCACCCCTCACTCGTATCCATTCACCTCGAATTCAAGGAAAAGTAATAGCATCCTGATTTTACTTGAAATAAGAAAGATACATTTGAATATTGACACTCACTTTTCTATTCGTAAAAGATAATCAACTTAACTAATGAAACACACAAATTAGCTAGGAGATAAGACTGAAAAACTTACGTTTAATAAAAAGTTTTACGCAGCCTAAAATCACTTGTACGCACACGTTCACTTTAACCGCTTTTTTCTTCATGTCATTACACTTGACGTAAAATTGTGTGTAGCCAGCATAAAGGCAAAATGTTGCCGTGTAATAAATAGTGGAAATAAATATTCTCTGATAGCCCATAGACCCACCAGAGACAACTTAATCAAATTCCCAAGTTTGTTTCTATTCACCCCGCGATTTCTATTCACCCCATTTTACGGTAAATCATATAGTGTACACAAAAGCTTTGTAAATCCAGTGTATCTAGTCTCCCGTAAGGATCAAGTGTCCCCAGTCTCCCCTATATAGGTGGACCATTATTTTGTTTAATTAATTCAAATAATACAGCTTTTGTCCAATTATCTTCAAAATATACTCCCTTTTCTCGCAGCCATTCCTGCATGTCACGTTTAATACTTGACATTGTAGGTGTTTTATTTATTTGATTTGAGTTCCATGATACGGAGCGTTGTCCATCACCACAAGTGACCTTTCAGGTAGGTTAGGAATGACTTTTTCATTCATCCATTTCAAAAGATTTGTTTAGTTCATGTTATCGTGGTAATCTGAGGGTTTTGATTGGGACTTGACCATTAACAGTGCACAATTAACAAAACCATTTTCATTTCCTGCATGAGCAATTATCCAACGATTCCCTGATGACTCTGACACGAACACCCCAAGCTCCTCTTCACTTTGCCAGCAACTTTTGGCATGATAAGTGTTGTGTATATAGGTCTCGTCTAAATATACTACAGGTCTTTTTTCCACATTGCGATTTCTTCGGATTCTCTCCAAATATCTTGAACGCCATGCAGGAATATCATAACGTTCCATTAGTAATTTACGTTTCGACTGGCATCGCTTATACTTGAAACCAACCATATTCAACCTTTTTTTACCCCGGGCCACATAATTGCTACTGTTTAATCTTGCGGGCCGCAGTAATTTACCTACGTACCTATATCGCCTACGACCCGAGCGAATAGTCTATCTATGTACCAAATTTTATCAATATCGATTCAGTGGTTGAGTCACGAAAGCGAAACAGACAGACTGGGTTTCTTTCGCATTTGTTATTAGCGGTGAAGGGAAGATTATGCGACAATAAAATAAAACTATATATTACAAAATATAAGCATTTATTTTAAAATTAATGTGATTTTTGACATTGTGACAAATTGACAACTTTTGTTGTCTCTGCCTCGTTGGCCGAATGGTCGCAAGTGCGACTGCCGGGCAACGGGTCTCGGGTTCGATTCCCGGGTCGGGCAAAGTATTACTGGGTTTCTAAGAAAATCTCAGTAGTAGCACGGAGTCTGGAATCGTGCCCGGTATATGGCAATAGGCTCACCCCCTATTACATGGGACTCATACCATAAATAGTGAAAAGTGGGTGTAACATTGTACAGTGGCATAATGTGCACCTCTGTCTACCCCTTCGGAGATAAAAGGCGTGATGTTATGTTATGACAACTTTTGTTAAATCAGGCACATAGTTACTGCATGCTACTCTCAAGACGTCGTCTAGGTGGGAATCAGTAAACCGAGATCTGTAGACGTTTTTTTGCATATTCCATTTTTGAATATGAAGATTCACATAGGTAAGTTGATGCAAACAATGTCAAGAGTAAGTGTGCGCAAACTGCGCAATTTTTGAACGTTTTATAGTTATCCGGTACTAACTTCCAAAATTCTTCATATTGATGTGTCTCTCTTTTCTCTTTAAAAATTGCCTCCAGATTCGTATCATTTTTTAAATCAATCAGCTCATCAGATAATTTTACATTATCAAACCCCAATAATGCAAGCTCTGTTGTAGTGGCTACATATATCTAAAATACAAAATCCTAAATAAATAGGCTTATCATAAATTAATTTTGTTTTCCGTAATTGTATTGCGACTAAATGTTCTGTAAAAATTTATAAACTATGGAATTCTAGTTTTGCAATCCAATCCTGAGCACCTAAACTCCCAACACCACGATTATCCCAGTGAGTTAGTAGTTTAACGGTTACTCTTTTTTCAATATTTTCCATAGTCTTACCGAAGACAGAATTGTTCATTAATTTAAAAGTCTTTTTTGAAGTTTGATGTAGCTAACGTTCTCAAACTATAGTATTTAAGTCTATGTATTTCTTTAGCCAAGAACTCTGTTTAAATTTTAAAATTCTATGTACTTATACTAGTACTATTAAAACATATGTATGGGTACACATATGTTTTCAGGACAACGGAAAACAGAATGCAAATTATGAAGTTCATCAGGATATTGAGACTGAAAAGCCCGTTTCACACCATCTTTCTTTGTTCGATCGCAAAAAGTCTTATTCACTTTTGAGTGAAACGTAGTGGTCAAAAGCGTAACGAGTTTAGTGTCCTGCCACATAACAAACGCCACATTGTTTTTAGTGCGCCATTAGAATTCGCCTCTTGCTAAAATTACTTTTTGGCTCCTTGGTATATTCTTGTGTTTGGCATGTTTCACAATGAGAGGTAGATCTGCTCTGTTACTGTTGACTGTTGCTGAGGCGTATATACCATTATTGTATAAATATTGCAGTATTTCATACGATGCGAAAAAATTATCGAAGGTGACATGTCCACGGTATCCTTCATCTACCAGCTTCTGTGTAAGGGCCTGGCCACAGGTTCTAGCGGTGCGGCGCGCGGTGCGACGGGAGGCGCGACGGGCGACGCGATTTGCGTTGGTATGCCACAGCTCGACTAGTTGCGACCGCGGCGGCGTCAGCGGTGGACGTATTTAGTATTATTTATAATGGCCCTATCAAAAGTGGCACGATATTGTCTTGAGACTAATGCGTTTTTAGCTCAAGATATCATTAACTCTAAAATTGGAACGCACCCAGTTAATGAAAAAAGGAAAAACCTTGGCGAATTTCACACGTTTTATCACAAATATAGGACCTATCCAGAATTTTTTTTTGAATATACGAGGACAAGCATAGAAACCTTCGATTACATACTCGGCCACATAAAATAAGATTTGATAGCTACAGTAAATTTTAAGAAAATTGTTTCACCTCCAGAACAACTGTTTCTTACTTTAAGATTAGTACATCGTTTATATAATGAAAGAGTCAACTTATTTATAAAAAAGTATATTTATTCATATTTTTAACATTGATACATTTAGGAAAATATAATCAGCCTAAGAATATAAAAAGTTTTTCGGTAAATATAATAAGTTTTTCGGTGTCCATTTGATGCGGAGCGAAATTTTCAAAACGATTTATTCAGTTCGCGCGAACACAAATACGTCCCCTCGCTGCCGCTGCATACGCCGCTCTGGCTGTGGCCGCCTCGATACTCCCCAGTGCATTTATTTCACTCGCACACCGCGCCGCCCGTCGCCGCCGCATGCCGCGCGACGCTCTCCGCGCCGCAGGTCGCTCCGCAATTCGCGTCGCCGTTAGCTGTGGCATACTTCATACGTTGTCTACCATTTGTTTTTCCCGCTCACCGCTTGTCGCGCCGCATTTCGCGCCGCAATCCGCGCTGCGCTTGGCTGTGGCCTGGGGGTAAGGCATTTCACAACATTGGCTCCTACACCGAATTCTGTAGACTGATCATCCCGTTTCCCCGTATAAATCTGAAATTCAAACACATAGCTTGTCTCGCTGTCAGCTCTATAGTCGTATTTTTAATTAGACGAAGTCGACTGACGTTTGCTGTGTTGTCAGTTTTTGATGAAATAAAAATAGTGTTGCGAAAAAGTGAATGATTGAAAAAGCAACTAAATGAATGAAATTGTCTCGATCGTCTAGTGAATTAATTGAAGTAGTTGAAACTACAGATGAGTAAAATATAAAAAAATTAGGTAGTTATGGATAATAAAAACAACGCTAATAACATCATTTGATTTTAATCATCATCAGATAAAAAATCATCGCTATCACTTTCGGTGACATTAATAATAAAGTTGTCTGACACATTGTCAATCATGTGGTCAAGGCCATACATTTTGTCTTCTTCTTTAATAACGTGAGACACGCAACTACTCCATTTTTCTGCTGTGATGAGTTGAAGTCCTTCTTCAAACAGTTTTTTAACTTCTGGCATTTTAAAAGTTTTGTTATTTCTTGCCACATGTCCTTTGGCCTGCGCCCATACCAACTCAATAGGGTTAAGCTCACAGTGGTATGGGGGCAGACGTAAAACCGTAATTCCATGGTGTGCTGCCATCTCGTCCACAACAAACTTTTCAGAATGTTGGTGTTTGTGCTGTCGTACAATGTCTATAAGAGTAGCTTTGATCATTGTTGCTTCGAATGCGATATTTTTGCTTGTTAGCCACTCTTGTATTCTGGATTTAGTCCAAGACATTGTAGGCAGCGATTCCAGTTTCCTGGAGTGGTACGGGGCATTATCCATCACTACCACGGAATTTGGTTTGAGTTTTGGCAAGACCTCTCTGAACCACTTTTCGAAGGAATCGGCATTCATCTCTTGATGATAATCTTCTTTGTTTTTTGTGGCTTCAAATATTAATAGGCTGTCTTCTACGAACCCTTCTTCCCCGCCTATATGTCCGATAATTAAGCGTTTGCCCTTTCCTGAAGGTTGTTTTAAGCCAGTGGTCAAGCCATCGAGGAAGGCCTGGCGGGAGGTTAGCACTGTTTGGTCAATCCATACCTTCTTCGGGGCATGACCTTAAAAATAGAGAAAAATATCAATTAATTATTGAAAGTAGAGGGACCTTCTAAACACATGCCTGTAAATGTATGTACACGTTTATCTAAGTGGTTTGTCATGTTTGTTTGTAATTATTCCTAATTTATATTATTGTCACACAATCAGAATTTACAGTCTTATAAGAAACGCATGTAATCTGTGTTAAATACAGCGTCGGTAACGAATTGTAAGAACTTTTATCTGTGGCCACAAAACCTACAGAAAGTAAAATTTAAAATGAAGAAAACAAAATTGTAATTACCTTCGTTGATCCAGGTCTCATCTTGGTAATAAATATACCTTCCTTCTCTTCTATACTGTTTTATTTCTCGAAGGTATCGCTGGCGCCATAGAATAATATCCTGTCTGTCAATAAGAATGCTTTTTCTTGTCTTTGAAACGTATTTGAAATTCAAATGTTTCATAACATTTCTTAGTGTACTCCATGAAAAAGTCGGTAAATCTGGGTCTTCATTGACAACTTTAAGGATCTGTAAAGTAATAAAAATGTTTTTGAGTAAGGAAATCTATGCAATCTAATACTTTGGTTTTACAAAGAACATTATGGTGGACACAGAATATAATGCAGTAGACGGAATAAAGTTTATGTTACCTTTGCAATGGTGGGTGGCTCATTTGCATAAAAAAACTGATGAACTTTTCGCCTTATGGCAGTAAAAGTAAAATCATCTAATTTGTCTTTGAAATTGTATTTCGGTCCACGTTTCTCGGGTGATTTAAATTGTTCATTTTCTTTGTATTCTTTTAATACACTGTAAACCGAGGTCACACCAATTCCCAAAATGTCAGCTGTTTTCGAAACACATTCCTGTTTTTCGGGGGTTTCAAAAGGTAATAGAGAAGCAGCTTTCTCCTCAAATACGTGTTTATACACGTTCTGTACCATGAGCTTTTCGGTAACGCTTAACGAAACCCGTGGTCTCTTCCTTCTCGGAGACAAGCTTTGACTTGACGTGCTTGGTTGAGGATCCATATTGTTTAAAGGAAACAATGAACCACAATAACCGCAAACACAACGAAACAAAAAACTTAACAAAACAACGTGAGCGCAGAAATAACAAAGTACGTGCTTTCAGACCAGAGGTTAGAAGCCGAATAACAATCAAAATGGCGACCGACGCGCGCGACGTCGATCGGTGTTGTCAGTACTCGCCGCGCCGCGCTTTACAATAAACTATCAAATATTGATACAATTTTATTAGAAATAGAAATAATATTCATTTATGTTTTGGAATGATTAAAATTATGAACTATTCACATTCATTGTTCATTCATTTGATTGAACGAGAACTGTAGCCATCACTATTACTTTAAATATGGCCACATTATTTTACAATTTGACATTAGCCATTGTCAGTTGACTTCGTCTAATTAAAAATACGACTATAGTCCACACTTTGTAGCCTCTTTTTATTGGTTTTAGTAACATATTTTGTTTGAGCCATGAGATACCTTTGAACTGGATCATTGACTCGTCCATTGATTGAATGTTGTAGTTTTAGCGCAACGTTGACTGGCCGTGTTGAGCAGCTCGAGAAGTGGACGAACTTTATATAGTTTGTCGAACTGAGGGGTTCCTCTCGCAGGCATCTGTGAGTTGTCATTCAAATGAAGGTTTTCCAAAAACTTCTTGAACCTTTTGCATGTCATTACAGAAGCTATTTCAGCAACACGAAAAAATGGGTCACTTAACCAATATAGATCAAGAGTTGGTAGCGGATGGAGCCACATCAAAATGATTATTCCTAGGAAGGCCTTTATTTCAGGACTGTCGACTGGCGACCAACCAAGGCTGCGATTCTGTTCTGCGTAAATATTAGTTTGTTCTTCAAGGAGATTAATTACATCGGTATCAAAAAAAATGAGAGAAATACGTAACAGGTCTGTCTGGTCCTACTTGGAATAAAATTTGTGTGTTCTAAATGTATGCTAGTCGATATCAGGAACCTGTGGCTAAAAAACCTTCTTTCACTCATTTTCTTCAGTGTCAGACTCTTCTGTATTACAGAGGTAACAAACACACTCCTTTCGTTTTACGGAAACATTGTTAAATTTAATAGACGGCCATGACTTTAGATTAGGGGGACTGGGATGCCGTCTCCTCCTTTTGCGAAGCAGTCATGCTAGCTAAGGAGGAGGCGGGACGCGTGAGGCAGCGAAGCGCTACCTCCTCGCAACCCAGCCACCGCGAAGGACACACCGGGCGTCGGGGATCGCGGGATGATCTCCGGCCACCGCAAGCGCGGGCCTGCGGACGGCGAGCATGGGTGGCTCCCCCGTCCGACCAGAAACAGACCCGAGCGTACGGCGCGTCGCGTTTCGCGCGCAACTCAAAGAGCCATCAGACCACCACAGATGGGGCCCAATAGGGCCGATGCCGATTCGGAGTCGCGGAGAACCTAACAGGTAACCGGGGCTCCGGCTCAGGCTCCGGCTCCGTGCAGGAGAAGGAACGAGATGGTTTTTAGTCAGTAAGAGTCTGGCACTCCCTCCCGCCTCACCCAGGCGGGAGCAGTCATTCAATGATTTTCCCCCTTAAAAAAAGGGGCATAACAAAAGTTCTTATTTTGTTACTTGAATTGTGCGAATACCTTAACACTTTACACACACACTTAACACTTAACACTCTCTGGGACGCCGGCCATTTATTAAGATATTGTAGGATATAAAAAAAAATAACTATAAGTGCTATAGGCATATTTTTTTTTATTTCGTTTATGTGTTATCTATTTTAATGATTTAAATAAAAATTATTATTATTATTATTTCTTATATTTCAAAACAAACGCGGAATATGACACAAAAATGAAAAAAAAAACTTACACCAACATTTTACTTATTTTAACCTGCGTAATTGGTCATTGTATGGTATTTTTTGAAACATGGGTGGTAACAAAGAGGTATATTACAGTCTGGACAGTAATAGACCGTTTCCTTCTTTCCTCGTGTTCCTTCTTTCCCACGTCGGCACAAACTTTGCACACTCTTGCCACATTTGTTTTTTTATCGGTGCTCGGAATCTTCTCCAGGAAGTGCCTGCCAGTCAATCTCGTGCTCGCTCTTCTTCGCTCTTCTTATCTTTGGGTTTACCCATTTTTTTTCTTGATTTACCTTACGCCTGTGTACTTTCAAAGTCTTTTCATTTTCTTTATCCTTTCTTAATGCTATATGCTCCTCTGAGGTCAAAAGTTTGCCAACCTGCTTGCTACGTTTACGAACTTCCATTATTTTTTGAGGAATTGGGGATATATTTTTTAAAATCCGAGAAGGCGTCCACTGATCAGCAGATGATCCTGGTATTGCTAAAGATTCATTCTCAACCGTTTGTCTGAAATTTGGTGGAGTGATGGACGCTACACATGTGGATACAGGTAAACTTGTATTAATGTTATTCCAAGGTCATTGATGAATGCATAATCAGGTATTGCTGATGGATTATATGAGAATACTTGCTCCACATGCTCTAAATCCAAAAATAGCGTTTCCAGCTGTAGCTGCCTTGCCCCATGGTTTATTCAATAATGATCCAAATGAGAGTTGTGATTCGGCGACTTGGATTTTGGTTTATCCATAACCGGCATTGTTCATAAAAGTGATGTTTCAGCGATTTAAAAACTGCCCTGTCAAGGGGCTGTAAATAATGGGATGTATGGCTCGGCATAGAAAGGAGAATGATCTCATTTTCATGGGCATATTCAAGCATTTCTACTGAATTACAGTGCGTGGAGTGACCATCAAGCAATAGTAAAACTTTTCCTTGCGGCTTTCTAGGCATAAAATGTATTTTCAGCCATTCCAAAAATATTGCTGATGTGATGTAAGCTGATTTTTCTGACATAAAAATACGGGATCCTGGAGGCATTCCATCTTCATACTCGCTTTTCTTATTTTTACCCTTCATGATACACGCCGGTGGTAAAAAAGTGCCTTCAGCATTGCAACATGCTATAATTGTAATTGTTTCACCCTTTTCTGTTGATGTTGTCGTGGATACAGCTTTAGTACCCTTTGTTGCGAGTACATGTCCAGGACGATTGTTCAGCTGTAGGCCTGATTCATCCATATTGAACACACAGCTGGGCTTTGTCATCAAATCATTAACTTTTTCTAACAAATCAAAGTAAGCACTGACCTCGACTCTGTTCATACCTTGACAACGGGCTATTGAAAGTCCTTCAGACTTTCTCAAAACAATATCTGGGTGTCTGGGTAAAAAACATTTGCAACCAATCATATCCAGCCTTTTCCTCTGATTTATTGGATTTATGTTTGATGTTTAATTGCTCAGCATACTAAAAGGCAATCACTCATACATCACTAATTGTCAAAGTGAATCCTTTTCCTTGCATTGTTTTAATATGTTTCATTCTGATCTCCAAGATCTGCCAGTGCCCTATGCAATCTAGGCGGACATCTTTAGGGGGTACAGGTTGTGCTGGTCCCCTCTGTTTTTTTTGAAGTAACTCGGCCTCTAATGTACTTGTGCTAGGGCGGCCACGTTTACCGCTGCTAGATGGTCCACCTAGATTGCATAGGGCATTGGCCAACTCCAGCCTAAACTTACATAAGTTTAGTGGTTTTTTATTTACTAAAGTATTATTATTTATCATAAATAATTTTTTGTACATGAGCCATGCATTGATTACAGACATATCTAAAAGATGAAAAAATAATCTATTTGTCCACTTCCTACTTTTTAGAGTGATACGATATCTCCCAATAAAACTGTCAAGCAAGTCCACTCCGCCCATGTGGGCGTTATAATCTTTGATAATTTGGGGACAAGCTACCGGTACTCTTTGTTTGCGGATTTTATCATACCGATTGATTGTAGAGACCGGTTCTGCTCCTGTATATGATGAAAGTAATGTAACGGGTTTGTTATCCTCTAAACCAAGGCGCATAAATCAACTCCATCTACATTACCCACTGTCTCCACAAAGTGACCGCGGGGCACGTCTCGTTTCATAATAGCTTTTTTATCAGGTAGCTTATTATTTTTTAGACGATTTGCTTGTACAGTTCCTAAAAATTGTACCCCTTGTTTAGCAAGATAAACCGCCAGCGGTATCGAGGTGTAGTATTGGTCAAAATAAATAATGTGGTTTGCACGTCTGGGGACGATCCTCAGTAGTCTCACTACCACGTTGCCTGTAGGTCCCAAATCTGGCTCACCAGGAAGGGTAAGATGTTTTTCGTTCCCAGCATACACTTCAAATTTGTGTGCAAATCCATAAATACTACACAACAAAAACAGTTTGAACCCCCATTTATGTGGCTTTTTAGGTAGGTATTGCTTCATATAGTGTGATAATTTGGTTGCGCACATCTGTTCGTCTAACGCCAGTCGTTGTTCGACTGGTATTGTTTCGAATCTTGCGTTCAGTTCATTTATTACAGGTCTAATTTTGAAGAGCCTGTCATGCTGTGGGTGATCTTGGGGCAAATGGTTCATATTATTATTGAAATGTAAAATGGCTGTAAGTTTTTCAAAGTGCTTTTGACTCATAACTGTTTTGATAGGGGCATATCCATAGTTATCTGACCAATATAATCTAAAATTAGGGTATTTTATTATTGAAGAAAATACTAATATTCCCAAGAACTTGTTCATATCAGCCATCGTCATAGAATATGGATTTGATAAATTCTTTTGCGTTGAGTAACTGTTGCTTTCTTCAACAATTGTATTACGTAACTCCATAGTAAAAAAGTAGGAGAAAAACTGATATGGAGTATCTAACTCTAATAAGCTATCTGGATATTGAATTGTATCTGAAAAAACTGTGTTACTCGGATCAGCTGCAAAATTACGTTGTCTCCAAACAATGTTGCGCTGGCGGATTGGAACAGCATTTTGGATAGATAATGATGAAGTGTTATTATCAATAATGAGGGGCGGATCGGTTTCATTTGTTTCATGGGAGGTACCTTCAATCAATGGTGGGTCTTGAGGGTCTTCATCCACCACCTCTTCAGGCTCCTCATCTTCCAAAGCTCGAATCAATTCCAAATCACTTCTAAAGAATGCCTCTTCATCACCTTCCTCATTTTCTGAGGAATCCATTCCATCTTCAGATTCATTCAAGGTGCTCAAATAGTGTTCTATATCTCCATCAGACATATTTCGCGACATCCTAAAAAAAATATAATAAATTATATGCTATTCAAGTAAAATAATCGAAAAAATATTACTGACTTCAAGTGTTCATAATAGTTAGGAAATATACCCAACAGTGCGCAATGTTGCAGAAATGAATCAAACCGAATTTCCATTGTAAAACGAATAAATAATGGACAACTATTATTATTTTCATATAAAGGAATATCTAAATAATCAATAAATAAAAAAACAATAATCATCTTACCTGGAAACCTTTTCAAAATCACAAATTACAACTTCGATAAATTCGTTTCACTTGGCGCCAACCGACTCGCGGGCAATTTTTTTTAAATTCAAATTATAAACATGGTTTTGTC